AACGCACACAGCAGAGCACCACAGACAAACCACTTAACTCAGACTGACGCCAGCTCACTAACAGTCGCGGGAGACCCCCAGCTAACACCACCTAGCAGCACAACTCGTAACTACAAAGCATGCGCCCGCAACAGGTCGTTTCCGGTTATTTTTGGGTCCCCCCTCGTATATTGTATCAGCTTCTGTTATGCTCTTTTCTGTTGTGTTGAATTTTGAATCATCTGTGGGGGTGGGGACAAATCATAATTTGTGATAGAGTAAGGAGGGGCTTAAATTTTAGTCATTGTAATGTATTATGGGTTTGTTGCTGTAGTAGCAGCAGAAGAGACATAAGGCCAACAAAGTTTCTGACATCAAGTGCACTAGGCCTATCACTACATATTATTATCCCACCAAGCAGAGATTACTGAAATACCAGCTCCTTTGCTTCGCACAAATGTGAAAATTTCGTTTAAAACTGGATTTGGAAAATGTAAAGTTTGTGCATATATGTGTAAAATATAATTAAATAAAATATAATGATTTGAAGAGGTTACTTTATATGACAGTTTTTTTCTCTGCACTTAAAATATTGGTAGTTACCCCCCCCTTTTTTTTTTTGGTGCCACACTCTATGCTACATGCCACTCAGAAAAATAAAGTCTATGAGATGGTGAAGTAATTGGTTTCAAAACAATAACCTGTTTATTTGACAGCTGCCATGCTGCTGCATTGACACAGACACATAAGTGTTAACTTCAGCCTCAGGAAACTGCATCTGGTTTGTGTGTTGTACATTATAGACTTTGACTGTACTATGTAATATTTTGAATATGTTCTTGTAATTTTGAATATGTTTATTTATCAAGAACATGCTCTTATGACAACCAGTATTTGACTTCATAACTCGAGTATGAAGGAGTATCTTACATATAATTATGTTGCTGAAAATATTTTACCTTCGTGATATGTAGTATGTATATAGCCAGAGAATATTTACTTTTTTCCAAAGTAGCAGAGATAACTTTTGATTTATTGAACATTCTTTTTATGTTTTACCCAACTTTGAATTATCTGTGGTGGATGTTGTTGAGATAAACTGGAATTCTGATTCATTGTACATTGTATACTCTAAACATTGAGAGTTGTTGCTTCAGGAGCCTGAGAATGCCTTCACCAGCAAGTGGGAGAGGATGGAGCCATCTGGTGATAAACTCAGTAAGTTTCATGTTCTTTGAGATTTTGTTCTTTCTTAAAGCTTGGAAGTTCTGTGCTACTTAGAGCTACTTATATTCGCAGGAAAAGAAAAATCCAGAATCCATGCCCTTAACAGTCTCCTATCTACAGAATTTTCTCATGACGCGCTCGCTTTGTGTGCTCTGATGTACAGTCATTGAACCCTCTAGTAGAAAATAATTGATTGTCCATGTCATGGAGTGTAGACAATGATTTGGGTGTTTCATTTTTTTTTAACTCTTGTTCTGGAGTAGGCTGCATTGGCCATTTGGGACTTGAATGAATAAACAGGAGTGTCACTCATAAATTCACATCACAATATTCCTTTAATGAGGTACAAGAGCATAATTCAGAGTGAGACAGGATTAGTTATTGATTTTCATTTCTGCAGCATGAAAGAACAATAGCAAGAACATTCTGTCAGAGCATAAGATTGAATCCACATAAGGGACAATTAGAAGCAATCTGTGCTAAAATGTGATGACTTATTCATATAAAATTATATCAAATTTAAAGGTAAAGGTGCTTAACTAATTAAGCACTATGACATGAAGTCTTATGGGGCAGTGGATATATAGATCCACATTTTCTTGAACTTGGCACTAGTTGGAGGTCATTGGTCAGCTTCACGCCCCGGCCGCTTTACCCCTAAGGATAGACCCCCCCCCGTACCCATTGGATAGGAGGCTGGGTGGGCCCAAGAACCGGTCTGGGCAACGTGGAGAAGAGAAAATTCTTGACCCTACTGGGATTTGAATGTAACCTCTTGATTGTCNAAGATGTACCGCCACTCCCCGTAAGTCCCCATAGTACTTGTCGAATTAAGCACAGGGACGACTTTATCTTTACTTACTTACTTATGAGCTGAGCCCTTCTTGAGGACCAGCCAAATCCGCAGCTACTCAAGAATTTCCCAGCATTTTATGGAAGCCAGAGGTTCATTACCGTGTTCACAAGGGCCTTCCACTGGTCCCTATCCTGAACCAGATCAATCCAATCCTATCTCTCTAAGATCCATTTTAATATTGTCCACCCACCTACACCTTGGTCTTCTCAGTCGTCTCTTTCATTCTGGTTTTCCCACCAGTATCCTATATGCATTCCTCTTCTCCCCCATTCGTGCTACATGCCCTGCCCACCTCATCCTCCTTCACTTGGGCATTCTAATTATACTTGGAGAAGATTACAGGTGATGAAGCAAAAGAATTTTACATTGGTTGTTAAAAATGGGACTGTTACAGGAAAGTTATGGATTTCTCTTTAAATCTTCAAAGAGTTTTAGGCGTGTGTATAGTTATTATATTTTTGTTCAGTCCCTAGTTTTGTAATGTTGTATTTTAGCGTCCTGTTGCACTGATCTTCGTCCATTATATGTAAGCAGTGTCCGTATTTTAGTGCACTCAATTTTACTTATTACTTCACGACATGTTTCGGCA